AAAACTCAAGTTCAACACGACTGGTCCTCAGCTGCTATAGGTCTCCTCATAGTGCCAGTTAGCCACCACATAAACACTATCACATGTAATGAGGATTAGATAATCCTTCAAGTAAAAGATCCGTCCCTACAACGGTTGGACTCAAACAAGAGCTGCGCAATAGGGCCAGTTCCAACACTTTGGGATTATTCAACCCTGATTACATGTGGTGTGACGTGTTTACCTAGTGGCTCACTCCCATTACTCAGAATCCCACCAAGCACGAAGCAAGCAGCATTCGGATAAGGAAAAACAGACTCAAGCCAAAACTGTTCTTAGAACAAGAAACGACACTTAACATACGATGCTAAGCTCATACTATCAGGCATAACCTAAACAGGCTATCCTACTGCTGTCTACTCAATTCTAGCATGCAATATTCATATAGCTGTAACAAATAAACAGGCACATAAGGCATCACTCCTAGATCCTTAGCCTATTCTAGCATGCAATATTCATAAAGCTGATAAACATAACATAAACTTGTATGGGTACTATGGGGAATACTTACTTGAGCTCGGCCGGTCGCGCACATCACACACTTTACTCTTTCTTGTGACTCTTCTCCGGGTTTTAAAGAACAATTTCTTTTGGAAAAATCTTTCAATCCCTCGATTTGAGTCCAAACACTCCCGAAGGCGTGTCCGAATCCCTCAAACCAGGGCTCTGATACCAACTTGTAACGACCCAATTTTTACGTCCGAAAATTTCATTTTTAAGGTATTACTTTAGAAAACGTTAATAAATAAAAACATTGTTTGTTCACACCATAACACATCGCAACCATGTTCTAAAAGTCAAACCATACATCCCATCAAAATATCAGAGTACAATCCCAGTAAATCTCATAAATGCGGAAACCGAAGAGTGTGTGTATGACGTGCCGCTACCGCGCCGGCTCCTTCCCCTTCGATGCAGAGGTACCTGAAAACAAAACTGTAAACGTAAGCACAAAGCTTAGTGAGTTCCCCCAACGTACCGCATACCATACAAACACATAACATACGTACTGCCAGGCTATTCTGGGGTGCCTGACTACCCGGTACGGCCATTCTGGGGTGCCGACCTACCCATACGGCCATTCTGGGGTGCCGTCTTACCCGTGTCAAGCCATTCTGGGGTGCTGACTACCCATGTCAAGCCATTTGGGGTGCTGACTACCCATCGGTCCTAACAACCGATCCTCGGGGACTATTTCACCCCTACTACTACGATCACATATAACATAACAAGCCAGCATGCAAACATCATCACATACTGTCAGACGTATCTGGGGTGTCTGACTACCCTTCGGTCCTAACAACCAAACTCTACTACTTATCACATACAACATATCATGCTAGCATATAACATATCAGGTAGTAGCAAACTTAGATGATATCACAAAGACAATCATCTATCATACATCTCCTACTGGTGGGTCGGCATTGTGGCCTTAGACCCACTGCTACTGGAAGGTAACTCACCTCAAAGTAGATGCTGAACTGATCGGGAACTAACTGACTGCTGCTGCTCCGGGAGTCCTCCGGCTGCAATTCCCACAACATACTCAATCAAACACTGCTAACTGTCCTTTAGGTAAAATGACCATTTTACCCCCGGTCTAGCTCTAAGCCAAAGCTAGAGTCAATTTTTCAGTTGACCCGACTCGCCGAGTGGATCTCCACTCGCCGAGTCCCTAGCAAACTATTGTCCTGGGTCCCTGGTTCTACTCGTCGAGTCGGGCTATGACTCGACGAGTTCACCTTCTAACTGTCATTCAACTCCTTCATCCTACTCGCCGAGTTGTATGAACAACTCGTCGAGTTCATCTTCATCCGATGAACACTTTATGCTAAGACTCGCCGAGTTGTATGAACAACTCGCCGAGTCTGTTCTTGATCTATGAAGATTGCCTTGGACTCGCCGAGTCAGGGCATTGACTCGCCGAGTCCTAACATGGGTGAGTTCAGCTCCCAACTCACCGAGTCACCCCCTGTGACTCATGGCTCAACTCGACACATGAAGAAGGGACCAAATCGGTGACTCGCGACCAGACTCGCCGAGTCACCTATACGACTCGCCGAGTCGTCGCCATGCATCACCAAATACACAGATTTACTCGATTTCAGTCCATGCCATTCATAGATCTGGACTTCTAGGACACAAATCACACGTAAAGTTTCCAACTTTACGTGTGGATATTCACTAATGTGGATTTTAGGGTGCAAAATGCCTCAAAAGGGTAGATCTAGGATGAACAAGCCACATGGGGCCATAAAGCTCACAGATCTGAGCTCCTGGAGCTCAATCTTGCCTAGATCTAAAGGTTAATCCACTTATTACGAGTCATTAAGCACAAACAAGCTTGAAGAATTGCTCAAGAGTGTCCCAAATGACATCCTAAGCATAGAAACAGGGGAAAACGAGATATACCTCAAGGAAATGTTGAAATGACACAAAGATGGCTGATCTCCTTCTCCTCTTCTTGATCTACTCCTCTTTCTCCTCAAAACCTTCAAGAACACACTCAAACTCTCAAGGAAACAAGGGAAAACGATGTTGGGGGAGTTCTGGGGGTGAATGGGGACGAGTTGGGGCGGAATGAGAGTTTAAATAGGGTGCAAACCCTTGAAACTTAGGGTTTCATCCAGCAGCGGTGACTCGCCGAGTCGCCTACTTAAAACGTGTCCTGAGTCTCGTCCCTACTCGACGAGTCGGACCCTATGACTCGCCGAGTCCAAGGCTATATTAGGGCAATGCTCAAATAAAATTCACATACCGGAAACCAGGTGCTACACTTATAAAGCAAAGTGTGCAGCTGTAGGCTTTGGGATATCTCAGGAATTCCATGTGTACATGCATAGTGTGCAATATTATTCACTGTACACGATCATGTTCAATTCATAAGTAAGTCATGAATCTCAAGACAAATACTCCCAAAATAAGATGAAGGTTACTGGAATAGGAAGGACGGTCCAAAGCAAAAATTGTCTTCAAAGGGGTCATAACAAGGCATCCTGTAAGAATCCCAAGGTCACACTAGAACCCAAACCCAAGAAAAAAATGGGTATACCAAGATTGGATCCTGATATCAGTCATTGGACTAGAGGTAGTGTAAGAGGTGGTGTCAGAGGTAGTAAAGGTGGTGCAAGGGGTAGTAGAGGTGGTATAGGGGGTAAGAGAGGTGGTGCAATGGGTAACACAGGTGGTGCAAAGGGTAACAAAGGTGGTAAAAGAGGTGGTAGGGGTAGTAAAAGAGGTGGTAGTGGCAGTAAGACATCTGTTGGAATTGAAGGTGGTGGAGTGGCCGAAGTTGAAGGTGGTGGAGGTGAAAATAAGGATGACACTAATCCTGAAAAATATTTAGTCAATTTATGGAAGGCAATGCAAGATTTGAAACTATCAGGGTATTCAATTGAAGAAATTAAAAATACACATAGTCTGACAGATTCACATATGAAACAGCTCAATGATTACAATGACACTATTAAACAAGTTCTTCCTATGTCTATGGTAAACCCTCTATATTACCTTAATGCTAACATTCATTTATGTTATTAATTGCTTGATGTTTTATAGGAAGAGGAGTATCCACCTCAAACTGAGAAACAAGATGGGGCTGAAGAAATTAACCCTGAGACACAACCAGAAAGTGAAGAAGATGGGATGTGTTGGGACTTCTGCAAATTCAGCATTGGAGTTGGATTAGGGTGTTAGGGTGTTAAGGGTAGTAAGGGTATTTTGGTACATCTTTTGTGAATGCTACTTTTGTGCATCTTTTGTGAATGCTACTTTTGTATATCTTTTGTGAATGCCCTTAAATTACTGATAGCCATATTTTGTATATCTTTTGTAAACACATTGAAACATTGTGAATGCCCTTAACATGGTTGGTAATGACATATTGGAGTTTGTTGCTTAATTATTATAGTTGACAAGTGTGCATATTTCATGGTTATATTTGTCAAGTGTACACCATTTATGCAAACCATAATAACATATTGCCATTTCATTAACCAAAGCATTACATGATCCACAAGAACATTTATCCATTACATCATGATAACAAACCAAAAGATGACATCATCCCTACCATACCATAATACCCTACAACTTACACTAAACTAACCATACATCATCCCTACAATGAAACAAACGAAACAAACCATCATCCACCTGCAGAATCCAAATTCATTACCAGGCACATGTGTATTCTCACGCATTGCAATTTGATTATCAGGTTCAAGAGCATTCACAGGGGCAATAGGGACATCAACATTCACAGGGGCAATAGGGCCATCAACAGGTATTTCACCTTCATTAACAGGGTTATTGAAAGGAATAACTACACCCCCATTAGCAACAACTCCTAATTCATACATTCTTTCTTTATACCACTTATTCAATATTGGTGGGTCAATCCAACGAAAATACCCACAGTCCTTCTCTTCATCCTACATAACATAGAAAGATGCATGTTTTTAACATAGAAGAATGGTAATTTAGTGAAATAGAAGAATTTGAGTGAGATTTGAAGATTATATACCATGTAATTTGGGCAACCAAAAAACCTCCGACCTGCATTCTTTCGAGTCCATGATGTCCACATTCCAACACTATCTCCACAATAGCACATTCTGATGTTGGTGCTTGACGAACTCGACATCGATTTCCTGTTTCCAATTTGCCATAATCGTTCGCTTCTTTGACTGTCGAATGAAGAAGAAGAGCTCGATTCATTAATTTAGCCCTCTTAAATGGCACGTAGGATGTTATTTAACATAATGACTTCCACGTAAGCTGTCACATCAGTAAAATACCGGCTAACCCATTAAATATTCCGTTTTGATTACGTTTACCGGTATTTAGGACTAAATTGCAATATATATATATATATATATATATATATAGGGGCTAAATCGATTATACGAACAATATATAGAGACTTTATTACAGTTTTCCCTTTTTTTCGTCACTTTATATCTTTCACTTCCCCCTTTGACTTATGATCATTCTTCTCTTCTTTATTTTTTTAGTTCATTTATAAGAAATTTAAACTATTTATAAAGATATACAAAAATTAATAAAAGTCGAACTTTTTCATTAAATTAAACTAACAAAAATTGAAAATTACATAATAATAATAATTAAAACAAACCTAAAGATATTATACTATATTTTGTTATTTCTTCTCTTAACGTTAAAGCCTTTTAAAGGGCGTTTACGATCGGTGCTCTTTATCAACAATTATAAATTTTTATATAGTTTTTCCTCGTGTTTTTTTTTTCTTTTTACGTAATTTTTCTTTTTCCAACTCCAGATATTCAGTAAAACTCGTATAAATAGCTCGTACTGGATCCCGATAAACTAGACGAAAAAAACTTTCTTTTTTCCTTTTTCCCTACCTATCAGGCGGTAGAAAACGTATTTTTAGATTTATGTAAAATTAAAATGACAAAACTACCCATATTTATTAACTAATCCTTTTACTAATTTATTTAACAAGATTATGACATCCTGTTAAAACTCAAGCGAAGTGAAGTGACGTGAAGACATAATATTTAAAGTTCGGTAAATGTTATATCAACAAGATAAGTACAATGCTGAGCTTAATGGATATTTTCTTCATTTTGCTAAATTAACTAAAACTTAATTTGAAATTATGGACATGTCACCTTAGCAAGAATCAATGAAGGTGAAGCAATTAGTTATAAATGAGAGACATCATTGTGTGCATCATCATGATGCAATGCGATGGCGATGGCCCATGGACATAAATCACATGATTCCCTAAGCATGCCATAGTGGAAAGAGGAACATTCCAACCCGCATCTAAATCATGGTTTATGAATAACATAAATCCCCACTTGGGTTCCTCATGCATATTCGTATGCATTTGCATACCTCATGTCCACAATCATATCCATCCATATCCTCATATTTTGTTTAAACCGGTCTCTAATATATTTAAAAAAAATCAAATAATATCATATTTGGGTGTGATTTTTACAGAATAATCAACTTTTTTTTCTTTATAATACAAAATAACCATGAATTTCAACACGATGGATGTTGTATATATTTTGATTATAGGGACATTAGGACATATTTCGAATTACTTATTAACTTCAGGGTTCTCAGATATATTGCAATCCTTGAATATTTCACAGTTTTTTTATCCTTAAATATTTCACAATCGCATTAATGTATTTCACAGTAGCTAGCAACGTTTAAAAGTGCTACTCTATATTTTATTTTGTATTTGAATTTAGATTTTCTTTTTTACTTACAATCTTAGACCGTTCATACAAAATACAAACAACATCTTAATAATCTTTAAACTATTTGATATCATTTTTTTTCACTTTCAATCTTTGACTCGGTACTATTTTACCGATGAGCGGCTGTTTTCTTGGCATGCTAAGCTCATAGGTCGGTATATGCCGAAGTGTGTCAGATGTGTCGAGTCGAGGGATGGTGTTGAGCCCACTCCTCCAGCCATAGGGTCTAGAATGACAAAGCGAATAAAGTAATATATAAATAATCAAATGGTAAAAGAGATGACCGACACCTAACATGTATACGTAGGAACATACAAATGACCATTTACGTATAATCTACTAATCTACTATAATAAATGAATATCCATTTTACCACATATCAATCTCTCGTGAGTTTTATCACTTATATTTTTAAAATAATTAATATCTACATATCAATTTCTGATTTTTTTTTTAATTTTTAAAATTAAAAAAGTCACATAATATTTATACTTACATATGTAAACTATTAAATGTAATAAATATGATAGTAAATTGCAATTAATAAATTTCTTTATTTCTTATTTCAAAATTTTATTTTAAAAATACTTACTGTTTATACTTTGTTATTAATCAACCCGTATAATACACTGGTCTTACACCTACTATATAGTAAAAACATATAAAATTCATATTAATCTAGCTATTGATGACTGTTTTTAGTATTATATTATCTTAAAACTATTTCTTTTGATGTTTTTGATATATATATATATATATATATATATATATATATATATATATATATATATATATATATATATATATATATATATATGATTAATTTAGAAAATGCTATTGGTATTTTTAGTTTGTCTTTTATCTTAGAATAATATCATTTTAATAAGTGAACCATGTTATAATATTCATAGTTTAATATTGTGAATTGTTGGTTCTAACGGTTTCGAACCTTTATATATATATATATATATATATATATATATATATATATATATATATATATATATATATATATATATATATATATATATTCATTTGAGACCATGTAAATTTTGTGAAAATATATGGACGAGATTCTAGCCACTCATCTTGGAAATCGATAAAAAATTGTAAAATGCAAAATAAAATGAAAAATCCGAAAATTCATTTTTTAAATATAATTTTCGTTATTTAATTTATCCAAAAAGTTATAAAAAATTATCATTTTTTTAGAAATATTAGTGAAATATTCTTATAAAATATTACACTGAAAATAATCAAATCGAATTTTTAAAATGTTAGAATATTCTAATATTCGACTAAAATTGATACATATGCTAAAATACTCTAATATTCTACTAAAATTGTTAAATTTATTAGAATATTCTAATATTATATTAGAATTTTTTGAAATTTTGTAGTTTAATATTTTAGAAGAATTTTCTAATATTCTAAAAATTCGATTTAAATATTTACAGTATAATATTCTATTAGAATATTTCACGTATATTTTTTTTTAAAAAAAATGGTATTTACCGTTGATCGCTTTAAACTCCGACGTTTTGGATTGGTTCCTCGATTTTATGATTAATAAATTTTCTCACATATATATATATATATATATATATATATATATATATATATATATATATATATATATATATATATATATATATATATATATATATATATATATATAAACTAGGTTACATAATTATGTATTATACCATTTGATTAAAAAGATATTAAATAGGAACATCAAATATTAAAGATTTATAAAGTGATATTTTTCTTAAATTAAAGACATTTCAGGATGAAAAAAAAAATTAGATAGTTCAGAAAACAAAAATGTGACAAATAAAATATAGAAGATGATCCCATATCATCACGGATATAAAGTTGAAAATGGGTATAAGTATAACTTATGAAAAAATATAAGAAAAATAAAACAAAGTGACTATTACTATGAAGTACAACCGATTGATATTCATGTTAAACTATTTAGCTTTTTTTGTTTTTTTTGATAAAATAAAGTCTAAAACTATATCTGAAAAATTGAGAAAAAAAATAATAATAAATGTATTAGCATATGTCAAGGTACTAATTAGATTAAATTAAGGAATATGTAGTACTTAAAAAATTTAGCTTACAAGATTTCTCGAATCCTCGAACATTTATAGCATTTTTTTTGAATTTTTGGTTGTTTTTGGATTGGTTTTCAAACGAGTTTTCGTTTACATCTATTGCTTGTTTAAAAGATTTGATTTATCATCTTAAATCTCATATCTTTGGATGAATTAAAGATGGGGCAGTTAGTTATGTAAAAACTGATCTGATCAGATATGTACAACTTTTATCCAAAAAAGCTTTGATAATCCGGACTGGTCCGACGATGAACATGTCGGACAGTCGGACTAATTTAGGAACGGTTGTGGCTTGATCTGAGATCCTGTTCTGGCCCGGTCCTTTCGGGTCCGTTCCTTTCTGGTCATATTTTATTTTATTAACATCAGTATTTATAATAATAATTATTATTGGTTTATAAACGTTAGTTTGTAAACAATATTATAAGAGCTTGCATATTCATTGTGCTTTTGTCTACCGGATCCATACTTTGGAGCACATCGTATTTAACAATTAACATCATTAGAATCATGAATACGCCGAGAGAATTGATTAATCTTCTTCATTATCAATCTATAATTCAGAACACTGTTAGAAGACAACAATATGTTGGCATTAAAATGCATTTGATCCATAGCAGCGTTCATATTTCTTGTCTTTTACTTAAAGTTTGCCACCTACCGTGGATTCTTGATCTGGGTTGGTTATATGCTTCCTGTTACTCCTTGTTTGTTCGACTGTTCATACTTCATAAAGACACCATGTTTGATTTTCCAATAACACAAAACTGCAAAATTGATCCCTATGGTATTAAAAAATCTTTGGATAGGGTTCAAAATGTTTCCAACTTGCATCGAAGGTCCAAAATCAAAACGTTTCCGTGATTTAGGTCCAAAAAAACTTGAAAAGACAATTATGCCCTTTTATTTTTTTTTTGTATCTTTTATAATTATTCTAGTCCCATTTTAATTAAAAAATAAAGAAAAAAGAAAAAAATATATCTCTCATCCTACCCACCCACCGTTCTTGTTCTCTCTCTCTCTCTCTCTCTCTCTCACACACACACACACAGTGACATAGCTCCTGAACTTCATCTTATTCATGAACTACTGAGTTGTTTTTGTTAGGTTTCATTATCTTTGAAGAACACCTCATGAATCACATGGTCAGAGTCATACACCATGACAAATTTCATTATCAGTATCAGATCCTTCTCTCACAACTTTCGTCTATGTCCCCATCACAAACCCTAACCCTAATTCTCTGATTTCCTCCATCGCCACCATTAAATCGACGACATCGCAGATTCCCTAGCTCCATCTTCAGTGATTAAATCGACAACCATTTTATGATTTT